TCTGGGGTGAGGGGCCCGAAGCGGAAGCGGGTGCAGCGGGACTGTAGGGCAGGGATGATCTTGGAGAGGTAGTTGCAGATGAGGCAAAAGCGGGTGTTCTCGGTGAACTTCTCGATCACTGCATAAGAGCAGGGGAGAAAGGCTGGAGCCCGTGACTGCAGCCCTGTGTGATGAGGGGAAACCAGGAGTGCCACCCCTCACCCCTGACCTCGCCGCAGAGCATTCTGTGCATCCTGTGTCATGGCATCAGCTTCATCCAGGATGACGAGCTTGAAGCCTTTCCTGGGACAGAGTGAGACGAGGGGGCTTTGCTGCCAGCTGCCTCTCGGAGGCTGCAGGGCTGGGGGTTAATGGCACATGGAGATGCTTCTTCCCAGTGTGGAAGTACTCTGTGCACACTTTTCCCCTTTGGGCCAGCATGCGTGCTGCCCCGCTGTCCCCGTACTGCTCTCCTCATCTGCTTGTCCTTATCCCTTCCTCCTGCATCCTGCTCCTCCCCTCCCACCTCGGTGCCCCCCACCCACTTGAAGATGGTCCTGGTGCTGGCAAAGCTCAGGATGGGCCCTCGAACGATGTCGATGCCACGGTCATCCGATGCATTCAGCTGCGGGGATGGAAGCGGTGGTGGGGGCGTGGGGTTCCAAAACTGAGCGCCCCCCCCATCCCCAGGACCCCCCTCGTACCTCCAGCACCATGGAGCTGAACTCCCGCTCGCGGTAGAGCTGCCGTGCACAAGCCAGGATGGTGGAGGTCTTCCCGGTGCCGGGGGGGCCATAGAGCAGGAGGTGGGGCAGCCTGTCCTCACTGATGAACCGCTGGACTGGGAGGAGGGGGGGACGCGGGGACTTTGGGGGCCTGATGGGGCTCACGGGGGATTGGAGGACACAAGGACACGGCTGGGGGTAGGGGGCCTTGGGGAGGGAAGGGGGGAGGTTGTGGAGGTATAGGAGCATAGGGGATTGGAGGGTGCACAGTGGCTTGGGAGGGACACAGAGGCTTGGGGAGGGCAATGGGGGGGCAATAGGAAAGTCGTAGTGGCTTGGGAGGGGGCACAGGGACTTGGGGGACACGGGACTGGGGGTGTTACAGGGGACCGGGGGCAGGGGGGGGTTGGAGGGACATGGAGGGGGGGGGGGGTACCGGGCGTTGGTGGGGGCATGGAACTGGGAGGGGACACAGTGGCTTGGAGGGCTCGAGGGCCCGGCGCGGGAGGGGGGCACGGCGGGGGGAAGGAGGCACTGGGGAAGGTCGCGGGTGCTTGGAGATGGGCGCAGGGAGAGGTACGAGAGGGGGCAAGGAGCCGGGAGGGGTGCAGGGACTCGGGGAGAGCGAGGGGTTGGGAGGGGGCGCGGGGGGCTCCGGGCATCCCCTCGGCGGGGTCCCGGCACTCACTGGTGCTGAGGATGTCCCGGTGCGACACCAGCTCCGACAGCGCCCGCGGACGGTACTTCTCCACCCTGCGGGGCGCAGAGCTCAGCGGCGCGGCCCGAACCGCCTCCTCCCCAGCCCCCCCCCCCCCCACTCCCCGTCCCACCGCCCGCCCCGCACCACGGCAGGTTCCTCCCGCACGGCCCCGCCATGGCACCGCGCGCGGCCTCGCGAGAGCGGCGGGAGCGCGGGAACGGCGCGGAGGGGGCGGGGCCTGGAAAAAAAAGGGGGCGGGGCCTGGGAAACCGGGGCGGGGAGCGCGGGAACGGGGTGGCGCGCCGCCGGTGGCGGGAGAGCGAAAGTGCGGGCGGGCGGAGCTCGGCGGGGCGCGCGTCCGCGTTCGGTCTGGGGGGCGCCGAAGCAAAGCGTCGAGACGCGGGTGGTGCCGCACCGCTCTGCCTTTGGGCTGCTCCGTCCCCGCTCTGTTTCCTCGGTCCCAGCGTACAGCGGAGTGGCACAGAGGTGGCCGCGGCCCCTTCCTCCCCCTGCGGGAGCCGGGGGGGCTCTGAGCTCACAGCCGTGCAGGAAGAGCAGCCGGGCTGAATTAAGTAATTACAAGCTGCATTTGATATAAACTGATTGTGCTGAGCACAACTTCTGGTTAAGGAATGAAGCGGTTGATGTTGCTGAGTAACGACGTGCACATTTGGTCCATTTACAAAATCCAGACGCCGATAAAGAAGGAAATGAATAATTCCAGCTGTCCGAGGGGTCCAGCGGGACGGCGCAGGGCTGCTGCTCCCAGCTCTGCTCCTGCTACCTGCAGCACGCACAGGGCTGTGGGCAGATCGCTGCAGGCTGTCCCCTTTTTGGCCTAGCGGCATGCACTGCGTTCTGTTGTGCTGTGCTGCACTCTGTTCGACTCTACTTCATCCCCATCTGACCCCATCCATCCCCACCCCCAACTCCACCCCATCCCCATTTCATCCCCACCCCATCCCATCCCCATCTCCATCGCTGTCCCACCCCCACCCCACCCCATCCTCATTTCATCCCATCTCCATTCCCATTCCTATCCCCCATCACTCTATCCCATCCCCATTCTCATCCCAATCCCATCCTTATCCATACCCCCATCCCATTCCCACCCCAATCCCATTCCATCCCATCCCATCCCCACCCCACCTCCTTCCCATCCCCATCTCCATCTTCATTTCCATCCCACCCCACCCCCATCCTCATTTTCAAACCATCCCATCCCATCTCCATCTCATCCCATCCCATCCCATCCTCATTTTCATCCCATCTCACCCCCACCCTTATTTCATCCCATACCCGTCCCCACATCACCCCATCCCATCCCCATCCCCATTCTCATCCCAGTCCCATCCTTATCCCCATCCCATCCCATCCTCACCCCAATTCTCATCCCCATCCCCATCCTCATCCCCATCCCATCCCATCCCCATCCTCATCCAACCCCCATCCCCATCCCATCCCCATCCCATCCCCATCCCATCCCATCCCATCCAATCCCCACCCCATCCCCATCCCATCCCCATCCCATCCAATCCCCATCCCATCCCCGTCCCCATCCTCATCCAACCCCCATGCCATCCCCATCCCAATTCCAATCCCCATCCCATTCCCATCCTCATCCCATCCCCATCCCCATCCCATCCAATCCCCACCCCATCCCCATCCCAATTCCAATCCCCATCCCAACCCCCACCCCACCTGATTCCATCCCCACTCCACTCCATCCCATCCCCAGCCCCATCTCCCCCCCCTCCCACCCATTTCTGAAGGGCACACAGCAGGATGTTCTGTGCCACGTGGGACCACCCCATCCCACCCTTCCCTCCCTGTGAGCGTAGCACCCACGTACAGCATCCAGTACAGATGGATGTTATGGGAAACAACATCTGAGCACAGAGAGCCGTTATCTCTGTGGTGGTTACTGAACGTCCCCATTAACCACAGGAGCCATCAGGAGATAACATTTCCCCATGTTTTGTTTTTCCTCCTTTTTTCTGCGCTCCAGTTAGTGACAGAAATTGCACTGCAGCTCAAACCCAGGCAATATTTCAATATTTGCCTTCACAAACTGCCCGCAAACAGCAAATGCTCACCCCTTACTCCTGCAGGGAAGAAAAAGACCTCTCCGATCCCCAAGGCCCCCGCAGCCCCCCCTCACCGTGCCCACTGACCCTTAGTGCCACATCCCCACGGGTCTGGCAGGAACCGTGACCCCACTTTTTCCCCTATAGGGAAAAATCAGCTCTGGGTGCTGGGAGATGGAGATGCAGGGGGCACATGGGGCTGGGGAGGATTTGCAGCAGTGTCCTCCCCCCCCCCCCTCCCCCCGTTACAGCCAGGCTCCCATTGCTGGAGGGTCCCCCACTGCACCAGGACCTGTGTTGCACACTGTCCACCCCCCATCATTGCAGAGAGATGCCCCATTGCACCAGATCCCCATTTTCACCCTGACCCCCTGTTTATGTCAATCCTCTCTTGTACAAGGGCTCCCACTGCACTGGGACCCCCCCTCCTAATTGCACCAGGACCCCCGTATTGCACCCACTGCACCAGTGTCCCATATTTATACCATAGGCCTCCATGGCACTGTGCCCCCCACAGTCCCCCACATTACATCATAGCCCACCATTACCATACAGACACTCGTTACCCCACAGCCTCCACCCCCAAATATCCCATAACCCCCCACTACATCACAACCCCCATTTCCCCATAGCCCCTCACTATACAATAGATTGTCAACACCCCATAAGCCCCTCTACTACCCCACAGCCCCCCACAACCCAATAACCTCACCATTACCCATAGCCCCCTATGACCCCAGAGCCCCCCATAACCCAATACCCTCCCCATCACCCCATAGCCTCCTATAACCCCCTAACCCCCCATAACCCAATACCCTCCCCATCACCCCATAGCCCCCTATAACCCCAGAACCCCCCATAACCCAATACCCTGCCCATCACCCCATAGCCCCCTGTGACACCCTAGCCCCCCACAACCCAATACCCTCCCCATCACCCCATAGCCCCCTATGACCCCAGAGCCCCCCATAACCCAATACCCTCCCCATCACCCCATAGCCCCCTCTTACCCCATTACCCCAAGGCATCTCACCGCCCCCTAGCCCCCCAGCACCCCACAGATCCCCTTACCCTCCAACCTCCCATAGCTCCACATTATCCCCCAACCCGGTTTACCCCACAGCCTCCCACCACCCCATAGGCCCCCAATAGCCCCCTCACCCCATTGCCCCTCAACACCCCATAGGCCCCCCCCGGACCCGATCCTCCTCCCATCCTCTGCAGCACCACTCCCCATCGCTCCCTCCGCCGCTTCCCTCTCTCTGCGCCGCGCTCTCCCCGCGGTGCGGTGCGGTGCGGTGCTGTGCGGAGCGGCGCGCATCCAACGCGCGGCCCCGCGCTCCCGGAGCGCGCCGCCCCCGCCCCCGCCCCGCCGCGCCCGGAGGAGGGGGGGGGGGAAAGGCGGCCGCACGGACGGGCGGTGGGCACGGCGGGGCGATGCTGCGGGCCGGGCCCCGGAGGGGCTGAGCAGCGGGCTGGGGGGGGGGGGGGGGGGGGGGGCGGCGAGCGATGGATGAGGAAAACATGACGAGGAGCGAGGAGCAGCAGCAGCTGAGTTTGCAGAAGGCGCTGCAGCAGTGCGAGCTGGTCCAGAACATGATCGACATCAGCATCTCCAACCTGGAGGGGCTCCGCACCAAGTGCGCCGCCTCCAACGACCTCACGCAGAAGGAGATCCGCACCCTGGAGGTAGGGCCGGGCCCCCCCCCGCACCCCCCGCCGGGCCGGCCCCCCCCCCGCCCCCCCCCCCCGGCCCCTCCGGGCTCCCCGCGGCGCTGCGGAGCGGCCGAGTGAGGCTGCGCGTTCTGCAGGTGGCCGAGGGGGGACCGCGGCTCCGGAGGATGCTCGGCCGCAGCTCCCGGGGCGCGCCGGGCCTCCTTCGTGTCACCGCGGTGTCCCCTCGGTGTCCCCCGGCCTGCGCGCATCCCTGCCGCCGGGACCCCGCGTCCGACCCCGCGCTGCGTCCCACGGCCTGCCTGCATCCCTGCTGCCTCCTGTATCCTCGCCTGGCTGCGTCCCTTTGGCCGGGCTGCTTGATCCGCACGGGGCTGCGTCCCCATGGCCTGCCCTCGTCCCTTTCTCCAGGATCCTAAATCCCTATCAGGATGCGTCCTTGGGCCTGGCTGCATCCCTTCCTTTGGGCTCCTGTCTCCCCATCGGCTGCATCCCTTTGGCCTGTCTGCATCCCGGCCGTGGGGCTGCAATCCCTATGGTTTGGCCACATCCCTTCCTTTGGGTTCCCAGTTCTCCATCAGCCTGCATTCGTTCAATGGGGCTGCATCCCTTGCTCCAGGCTCCTAATTCCCCACTGAGCTGCATCCCTGTGGCCTGGCTGCATCCTTTCCTCCGGGTTCCGAGCTCCCAGTCAGCCTGCATCCCTTCCTCTGGGCTCTCACCTCCATCAGGGATGGCCACAGCCCTTTGGCCAGGTTGCATCCTACCCACCAGGATCCTAAGTCCCTACCAGGCTGCATCGCTGTGGCCTGGCTGCATCCCTTCCTCCTGGTCCCTAAATCCTCACCAGCTGCATCCCTTTCGCCGGGCTGTGTCCTACCACGAGGCTGCAGCCCTATGATTTAGCCACATCTCATCCTCCAGGTTCCTAATTCCCTATAGGGTTGCAGCCCTCCCCTGAACTCCTCCATCCTCACTGTGCTGTATCCCTTTGGCTGGATCCCACCCCGTAGCCCGATCTCATCCCTTCCTCCAGGCTCCCTATCAGGCTGCATTCTTCCCACTGGACCGCATCTCTTGGCCTGGCCACATCCACCTCACAGGATGGGGAAAAGACAGGGGCTGTGGGTGGGGGTCCCACAGGAAGGATTTTGGAGCGGTGGCAGTTTTGGGGCAGGTGGTGCAGGTTTATCCAGCTGCACCCGGTGCATCCCATGGCCCTGCGTGGGCTGGGCGCCGCTGTGGGGCTCTCATCTCCCTCTCACGGGTGGGACTGAAGGAGATGATGGAAGTGATGGATCCGTGCGCTCCTGGTGGCACTGTCCTGGGGTTCTGTTGGCATCAGTGGGGCCACGCGTGGCCCTGAGCCGCCGCTGCCACGTCCCAAGGCCGTGACGCAGGTGCGGGGGCACCGCTCGGCTGGAGCGAAGCAGGGAGGCACTGCTGTGAGTTTATTTTCCTAAATCCTCGTTTCAAAGGATGAAGAGTAAAGCTTCTGCTCGTTTCTTGGATTTCGGGATCCCCGTGGCATCTGTCCCTGCTGGTGGAACAAGATAGGGAAATCCCACTGAGGGTCACCGAAGGGTTGGAGAGCCCCGAGCACAGCCTGTACCCCTGTGCAGGGGAATGGTGTTAAGGGGACGCCGCTGCTGCTGGCCCTGCAAGGAGAGGCACCTGGAAGGGCACCCCTAGGGGCAAGCATGCATGCGTGAAACATGCACCTATATGTAAAATGCATACGGATGGATAGAGCACACATCTGCATACAGGTGCCACAAGGCTCTGCTGCCCCCCAGGCGGCCCCCTGCTGCTGCCTGCAGCCCCGCAGCACTGCCCTGCTGTGCCCATTTCACAGATGGAAAACTGAGGCATGGATGAGCCCAAGGGGCTGTGCAGTGTCGAGGTGGCAGTGCAGGTTTCCAAACGTTTGGTGTGGAGGTGGAGGGCACTGTGCTGCTCTTGGGATGGCTGCTTTACACCCCTGTGGGCCCAGGGGATGCTGCTGGAGCAGGAACCCATCTGCGCCCTCATTAGCACTAACGAAGCGCCTCTGCTCTCTCCAGGCTGTGATGCAGGTGTCCCCACCTGCAGCTCAGAATAGGTGCATCCATAGGGGATCTGTGTTGTTTTTTTTTTTCCCATCAGATCCTGGTCCCATCCTTGCCCAGCTCCTGGCCTGTCCCTGTGACACTGGTGGCACTTGTGTCCTGTGTCCCAGCCCTGTCCCTGTGTCGGTGCAGCTCAGAAACCCCGCTGCTGCCCGTCCCAAGGAGAGGTGCTGGGATGGAGGTGCTTGGAGGCAGCGCTGTGCACGGCTCTCCCCGTGGCTGTGCAGCTCTGCGTGTGTTCCAGCCCTCCTGTAGGGACAGGGAAAGGTTGGTGCGGTGCCCACAAATCACAGCACTGTGAGCCCCTCTGGTGTGGGAAAAAGGGCACAGTGCTCCCCAACCCCTCCTTGGAGGCTCTTGGAGGAAGATTCACTTAAGAAGCATCCGTGGGGACCGCCCCAGCTCCGAGGGGTGATGCAGAAATCTCATATGACTTTCTTGGTTGGCTCTCCATGGCTTTATTTCAGGCAGTAATATTCAGTAATAACCTCAGACTGAATGGGACTGCACCAGGGCTAGGGTGTCACTGCGTGCGCCCATCCGTCCCACCGTGTGTTCCGTTCCCGACACGTCTATTTCTGGGGTGCTGGGCAGGGGCACAGCTCCATCTAGCGCTGCCGGCGGCGGGGAATCTCCCAGCTGGAGAGCAGAGTGGGAAATCCCTGCAGGCTCCCAGGGCTCTGCTCTACATTTCCCAGAAAGGAGGGCAGGCGCTCGGCGGCGTTATTTTGGGAGCTGAGCTTGTGAGTGCGATGGCTTCGCAGTGGTGCTGGGCCCGGGGAAGGAGGTGGGTGTGCACTGCTGCCGTGGGAAGGGAATACAGAGTGAGAGCTGGGATGCAGGGATGCTCCAGGCATGGGGGGGGGGGGGCGGGCGGGGGGGTCTCTTTGCACTGATATTGGGTGTGAGTTGGGTCAGCAGGTGAGCTGCGATGGAGAAGGGCTGTCCCTGTCATTCCTCTCTCCTGCATCAGAGGGAACCTGTGGGGCGATGTCCATCCATCCCTAGAGCGGAGGGATTTGGGGCTGGGGATGGAGCTGAGATAGCTTGATTTCCAGCCTGATGGAGTGGGAGAGGAGGGGGCTCCCATGGGATTTTCCCTTGTCTCGCAGAGCAAGCTGGTCAAGTACTTCAGCCGGCAGCTCTCCTGCAAGAGGAAGGTGGCCCTGCAGGAGCGCAACGCCAAGCTGGAGGGCTTCCCCCAGCTCCTGCACTGGTTCCGCATCGTCGACATCCGCAAGGAGGTGATGGAGGTAGGGATGGGGATCCGTCCCGTCGTCTCCTGCGTTGGGGTGCTGCACCACGTCTGCTGAGTTGGAGGTCCTTACCATCTCACATTTTGGGAGCACCCATCCCAGCATCCATCTTATGGGGATCCATCTTATCGTCTCCTGGGTTGGTGATCCACCACATGTGCCCAGGTGGAGATCCGTGCCATCTCCCTGGTCTGAGGGATCCATCCCATCATCCCCCAGGCTGGGGATCCCTCTAATCTTCTCCCAGCTTGGAGCCATCCACCATGTCTCCTGGTTGGTGATCCGCCCCATCTCCTGAGTTGGAATCCCATACCATCTCCCACACTGGGGGGATTCATCTCAGTTTCCAGCCTTGGGGCTCTTGAGTAAAATTTGCCAAGGAGAGACAGTTGCTCCCCAAGATGGAAGCTGCCCCAGGGCTGTGCTTTTAGGCTATAGGATCAGCATAGCAAGTGCTGGTAGAAAATGGGGTGGGAGAGAAATGGGACCCAATTGTTTCACTGCATGGAGAGATGCTACAAGGCGGGATGGGGGGGTGCTGGCCAGAGCTCCCCATGGCTCTGCCAGCTGTGGGTGTGGACAGCTGTGCAGGACATGTCACACAGAACCCCAGAACCCCCCCAAATCCCTCAGGAGGGAATGGCTCCTTGATCCATACTCCAAAGTGCTCATCGAGCAGCAGATGCCCACGGATGGTTTTTCCCCTTCTTTCTTCCCCCCTTGGTAGGAAATAGCCCCAGGGCAGCTGAGCCTGGAGGAGCTGCTGGAGATGACTGATGATCAGGTCTGTGAGACGGTGGAGAAGTTTGGGGCCAACAGTGAGGAGTGCGCCCGCCTCAACGCATCCCTCTCCTGCCTCCGCAGCGTCCATAAGTCTGGTGAGCAGGGCTGGTGACCTGGGGAAAGGCATCCAAAGGCTTGGGAGAGGGGGTTGTGGTCTGAAATAGGGAGAGGAGACCCTGTTTGGGTGCTGGGACCAACCACACACATCCCCACGGTTGGGTACCAGCCATGTGGCAAGGAGGCTGATGGGGGGTGAAGGTGGGGAGGCTGGGAAAGCCCTGTAGCCTCTAAAGGCCCCACCGCGGAGCATCCCTGTGCCGAAGCCTTGCTCCTGCGTGGTGGGAGGGCGGGGGGAGGGCTTGGCGGTGCGGCTGCGGTGCGGTGCGGCCGGGCGGTGGCAGCAGCGATCCGCAGAGACGCAGCGATGCTCGGGAGGGCGAGCTGGAAGGCGGAACGTAGGGGTTGGAGGCTGGAAATGGGGGGGTTGGAGGCAGAGGGTGGCAGAAGGGCGGGGGTCTCCTCCTTGGGGCCGTCTCCAAACCTCTTGGCATCCTTGAGCCGTTTGTGCTCTGTCTTCCCTCCCCAGGAGCATCCCTTGCAGGTGGGCAGCTTGGAGCACCCCAGGCTGCTGCTGTCCCCTTCGGTGCTTCATTGCACCCCGGAGGATGGATCAAGCAGGGGGGAGGATGGTCCCTGCTCACACAGGAGCATCCCAGTGGATATGGGGGGCGCAGGATGATCCCTGCTGGGGTTGTGACCCACTGCAGTGTCACGGCAGAGCAGTGAGGTGGGAGGGCTGCAGCCCAGCCTGACATTTCCTACAGAGCCCCACCGCCCCAAAGGACTGCTCCCCAAATCCAGCTCCTGCCTGGATTTCTGCCCTCTTCCCTTTGGCATTTTCCCCAAATCTCTCCGATATTTGAGGAAGGGCAGCAGCCCAGGCAGGCTCTCAGCCGACGTTTTGTTTAAACACCTTTGACTTTTAAAGCCCGGTGCAAACAAACGCAGTTTGACTCGCACCCCCTCCTGCCCTTTTTTTTTGGGCTGCACTCAGCAGAGGGAATTCCCATTTGGAAAACACACGTGAGCCCCCCGCTCAGGCTGAGATGCTGAGAGTGTTTGCTGGAAGCTGCTGGGGGCTGCAGGAGGGCACTGGGCTGCCCTATGGGAGCTCCTGCACCAGCAGCCCTGCCGATGCCACTGAGGAGCAGAGTGCTGCCTCTCCATATCACCATGTAACGTCTCCTTGAGCCGCCGTGGTGGTCAATTTCTAGAAGCCCAGATTAGCTCTAATAAAGCAGCAACGAGGTGTGGCTGATAACCTTTTCCATCCATCTCTATTTATCGAGTCGTTCATTAGGGGCTGCTAATTTCCCAAGCCAATTCCCTGCGTGGATGGGGCTGGGAGGAGGAGGAGGGTCTCTGCTTTGTGGCTCTGATGGCAATGTGTTTTGCCTGGGTGGTTTTGGGTGATGGGGGACCCTTCTGACCCACGTGTGTGCTGGAAGGGTCCCTGGGTAGCACACGGAGGGCAGCACATTGCTCCATCAAATCCAGCACCGACCCGGTTTTAACGTTACTGTGCTAAACAGTACTATGGGATTTCTCTCTGCTGTGTGCTTGGCTGCAGGATTTATTAGCAGAGCAGGACTTGAAGTGAGAGCTGAGCAGGGCCTGTGGATGGAGCTGTGAGCTTGAGTTACTGGGGAATGGTGCAGCACTGTGTTTGTGTGAGGCCGCAGGGCGATGGCAGTGGGGACGTGGGAGCCTCCGGCCCAAATTCTGCCTGCTGCAGGGGAAAGCTTTGGCTTTGGAGAGGCTGAGAGTGACTTTAGAAGTAAATTGAGGTGTGGGATGGGGTGATGTGAGGCGCTGGGCATCCTCATTTTGAGGCCAGCCTGCAGGGTGCACCCCTTGGTGTGCAGTGGGGACAGGGCTGGGTGCCATGCATGATGTCAGTGCCCACCTGGTCACTGTGTGCTGCTTTTGGGGAAGGAAAGGGAAGAAGCCGCCCCGAGCTCCTCAGGGGTGCTGCTCCCTCGGTTTGGCATCGCCCCACACAGATCCCACTGGGTGGCAGTGTTCTTGTATGGCACGAGGCGTGAGGTTTTCCTACAGAGGGATTTGCATCTTCATTAGCTTCATTTTCTGCTTTGGAACAATCCGAGAAAACCCATCACCCCCTCTTCCCTATCAATCCAATCCCAAAGCTTTTGCAATCCCAAAGCCCTGTCCTCCTTTATTTTACCCCTCTCTGAGCCTGAAGCAAAGAGCTCCCCTCAAAGAAGCTCAGTTAGATAAGGGGGCCGGCAATTAATAACCAAACAAAGGGATGGAGACGACATTTCTTATGCTGCTTGCCTTCGAGGCGGCGATCTAAAGCGGTTGGCGCCAGGAGCTCAGAGCTGCTCCATCACTGTGGCACTCTGAAGTTGCAGCCGACAGCTCCTCACTCATCCCTGCACCGCACAGACTGGTAATGAGGGGTTGTGAGGTGCCACGCTCCCTTTCTGTCGGTCTTTTCCCCCCTTTCGTTTCTGCAAACCGCACCAATACAAAGGGGTGAAATGAGACGGGGCTGTCGGAGCTTGGATGGGCTCTTTGTTCCCGGGGTGGGTTTGGGATGGACCCCTCCATAAGGGCTGTAGGTGGGATGAGGGCATCAGCAGGCTGCGAGTCACCCGCCCCACGGCTCTATATGTGCTCTGTCGCAGGCGGCAGCCTCTCCAAGCAGGACTGGACCATCCAATGGCCCACGACGGAGCCAGGCAAGGAGAACCAGCCAGGCTGTCCTCAAGAACCCGCCCCGTGGAGCCGCACGCACCTCTCGGCCAGCCCCAAACCCCCCGCCAAGTGCGCCCAGCACCACTGCCACGGCCCCCTCTACACCCACGTGGACCGCCTGACTGTGGAGGGCCACCCTGGGCTGTGTCCCCCCGTGGAATCCGGCCACCGTTCCCTGCCTCCCTCCCCTCGGCAGCGGCACGCCGCTCACACCCCGCCGCGCACCCCCAACATCGTCACCACCATGACACCGCCGGGCACGCCGCCGCTGCGCCGCAGGAACAAGCTGAAACCCCCCGGCACCCCCCCACCTGCCTCCCGAAAACTCATCCACCTCCTGCCTGGCTTCACAGCCCTGCACCGCAGCAAGTCGCACGAGTTCCAGCTGGGGCACCGCGTGGACGAGGCGCACACCCCCAAGTAAGTGGGGTCACCCATTAAGTCCCCATCCCTGGGGTCCCAAACGGTCCCTCTGAGCCGAGGGAGAGGCATGGAGATGTGTCAGAGTGGGGTTAAGGAAAGATTTTGCCCCAGTGGGAGTTGGGCATGGCACAGGTCCCCAGGGCAGTGGGCACAGCCCTGGGCTGCATTCAGGAGCAATGGGACGCTGCTCTCAGCCGTGGGGTTTGGGTTTTGGGTGTTGCGTGTGCTGCCCAGGGTGGTGGTGGGGTCACCGTCCCTGGAGCGGGGAGCTGTGGCACTGAGGGATGTGGGCAGTGGGTATGGTGGGGGTGGGCTTGGTGATCTTAGAGGTCTTTTCCAACCTTAGCGATTCTGTGATTCTTTGGGACCAAGGGTTGGATTTGGTGATCTCCACGGACCCCTTGCAGCTTGGGATATTCCATACTGCTATGCCTGGATGCAGTTTTGGGGTGCTCCTATTAAGCACCTCACCAAGGCAGGGCTGGGACCCAACGTGCAGCCGGGCAATGAGATCCAAACAGGGAACAAAGTCCTCCTCCAGCTGCAGCACGGCACATTTCCCACACCTTCCCCTGTCACCGTTCCCGGTGCCTCCGCATCCCCGGCGTTAACGCGGCGCTCCGGCTGCTCCTGCTCTGCAGCCCGGTGCCGGCAGAGGCTGCTGCAGTGCTGGGAAGCGGACTTATCCCTGCCTGCTCCTTCGGGCCCTTTTAGGGAGCAAACCCCAAACCCTTCAGCTCTGTGCTGAGGTCGGGTTGCAGTGTGTGGCGACCCTACAGCCCCCAACCCCAGCAGCTGTGGCAGCGCTCGGTGCAAGCAGTGAGGGCGGCCATCCTCCTCCCGTATGGGTGGTGATGGATTTCTGTCTGTAAATGGGAAACTCTTTGGGAAATGATTTGATTTGGGTTCCTGCAAGGCGACGCTTGGGAAACTGCACTCCCCCCCTCCCCCGGTGCTGCCTTCGGTTCTCCTGAGTCGTTTGATCCTTGCACACCTCGGGTCATGGTGACATGAGCTTCAGGGTGAGGCTGGAGATGCACACAGAGCACGAAAGCTTTCATCTGCTGCTTCCCCACAGGGACGGGTGAGGCAGGGAGTGGGGTGCCGTGACTTCTTTGTGTGAGCCAAGGGAGGCTCATAAACGTCAGAGAGGGCTTTTACATCAGCACAGCCTCACAGCCCCGTCCCTCACCGTGTCCCTCTGCCCAGTGCCACCTCGGTTGCTGGGATGATTCCCCTTCGCTGGCCACCAGCTGCAGCCCAAGGGGAGATTAAACTCAATTAACAGAGGAAAGGGAACAAATATTGATAGGGCATCGGTGGGGTGCTCATCTTGGGGGTATGGAAGGATGGGGAGCTGCGAGACCCAGCCTCCTCAGTGCTGCTAGGAGTGCTGAGGAGGTTAATTTTCTCTAATGGCACTTAATGATTTTCAGGAGGCAACCACTAAATCCCGTTTCCTAATCCCATTAGTGCTCGGGGATGACAATTAGTGCGTTTAGGAGGCAGCTTCATTTCACCCCGCGCTGCAGCAGCTGAACACGGCGCGGTGCTGCAGCCTGGGTGCTTTTCCTGCCCTGGAGAAGGGCCTTCCTGGGCTCTTATCAGCTAATTCTCACCTTACGGCTGTGTGGTTCTGGGACGGTTTCTCTTAACGTCACCATTTTCACGACGTCCCACTCCGCTGTGCTCCCTGCAGGAGGCGGTTTTCCTCCTGACCTCAGCCCCGAGGATCACTGAAATGGAGCTTTTGGCTCCAAACGGTTTTTTTCCGACTGCACAGCCGTGCTTTCAGCACATTGACCTCCTTGTTACTGCGGGTGTAACCCCGCGCTGCCTCTTTGCCGACCCCCACCTGCTGGGACCCCCCCAGGGGCTGTCCCCAATGGGGACAGGCTGACCACAGCAAGGCCCTGGGCTCAGCCTTGTCCCCATCATGTGGCTGCTGCTTTCTTTTCTATGATAGCTGATGCATTTGCTCACGTTTTGCTTCCGAGCTTGTTTCTAGGGTTTAATCCGTTCTGGATGCTGAAGCTTTCTGTAGCAGGGGTTAAACTTTGGGAGCTTGCAGCCTCCAGCTGCTGACCGTAACTCTGGGGCATGGAACATTACTCCTTGAAAGATCCCCTGGCTTCCATAAATCCACAATCCATAAACATCTCATGATTGGTCTTGAAACGGAAACCAAACATTTAGAGTGGCTGATAATATAATGCCTTTTAATACCTCATGAGTTCCACGGGCCATTTACATCTTTCACGGATAGTTAATGATTATTCATCAGCAAGAAAGCGAAAAAAAACCCAAAAAGCCCCAAACACCAAACCCAACAAGCAACCTCAGAAAGCAAACAGACTGTGCAAGGCCTTAAAAAAAAGACATTGTCTGGGGAGAGAAAGTTGGGATGGTTCAAAGGGAGCCCAGGTGAACCCCTGCAGGTGTGTGGAAGGGTGAGGTTTGAAGGGCAAAAGGTTGGGAATTGCACTGAGGGCATTTGTGCAGGTGGGGTTGGGTGTGCTGGTGGGGAAGGCAACCTGGGGATGGGCACCAGGCATTGAGGTTGGGTTTGAATGCTGTTTTTCACAGTCTGGGTGGTGCTGCCTGGGCTGGCGACTCTTTGCCTTGCCTTTGTGGTAGTTCCAGCTCTAACCTTCTGCTCATTTCTGTTGCACCTGGCCCTATGCAATGCTCACATCTTGCACCTCTACTGTGGGTGGTTGCTTCTCCATCTTGTGTAATAGAAAACCCTCTGAGAATGGTGCGTCTCCCATGTCCCTTGCTCTTCCCTTTCGCTTTGCCTTCCCCAGGCACTGGCTCTGCCCTGGGCAGCCCTGCTGGGGGTGATTATTTCTTCAACGAGAGCAAAAACGTCCCCTCAAAAGAGCTGTGCTGTGCTGTGAGCACACTCTTTGCAGAAGGTGTTGCTCAGGATTGTTGGCTGAGCATCTGCAAACTCATTCTGGAGCTGGAGCAGCCGTTCTTCCCCAGCGTTAGCCATTGTTTTATTGTATCCCTCAGGAAAAAGAGCATCCCTGCGTGCCTGGATTCATGCTGGCTCAGCCGTGGCCATTTGTAGGGTGGGTTGAGGTAGGGCACCCAGACAGGAAACTGAGAGCAGAGGGCTCCCACCCACTGCCCCCCTGTTAGGCTGCCCCTCATTAATGAGTTCAGCAGTGGGTCATTCATCCTGCTGTCCTGCAGCCTTGCCATAACGATGTTTTCCCCTCATATCCATCCCAATCACCAAGCAGATCAATTATTTCCCGTTCTACATGGGCTGCGCTGAGGCAGCTCTTGTCTGGCACTGCTTCTTCCAGCCTTGGCGACGCACGTGGGCTCATGGTGATGGGGACGAGCATCAGTGACTCCCAAAATGTACACACAGTCCCTAGGCAGTATCTTAAGGGCTGTGTTTTCCCTCTTGTACGCTACCTGAAAACTCACAGACCATCCCAGCCCAGGTGCAGCAAGGAGAGCACTGCAGAGTGGGGACTGGGAGAGCCAAACGAGCAGCATCCCTGTTTCCAAATAGCCCTCCTGATTAATCTCTGTGCTTTGGTGGTGAGTCAGTGGAGCCGTGCACAGGTTCTGGATCACCTCCAGCCTTCTCAAAGCACGGCTCACACACCATGCCCTGACAGTGATGGCTTACCTCCGTCCCGAGCTGGCTCTGTGCTGCCATCATCCCTCTGCTCCGGGCTCTGCTTCTCCTTAGGTATGTCATTAATGTTAATTACTGCTGCGGCACTCCATCAAGAGGAGGGGGAGCTTTCACATGCTTGGAGGAGAAACTTCTCACCGTGTCCTTTAACGAGGAGCCCAGCCGCCTCTCGCCACTCAGCGAGCTGTGAGCGTGGTGATGCATTTAGATGGGGATGGGTGCTGGGGGGGGAGGCGTGGGGCTCTGACTGCTGGCGTTGTGGTGAGGTGTTGGTGTGGGAGAAGGGCACAGTGCTGCAGGAGGTGTCCCACCCAGAGCTGGGGCATCAGTCAGAAGGTCAGGCTCGAGCTGATCATGGAATCATAGAACAGCTGGAGCTGGGAGGGACCTTGAAGAGAATCCATTTCCAACCCCCAAGGGCTGTGTGCCCCCCACCAGATCAGGCTGCCCAAGGCCCCAGCCTGGCCTTGATCCCCTCTGGGGGCACCCACAGCTTCTATTCCTTTTCTCCTAGCTGCGACTTTGCAGGGATGATGAGAAGCATCTCCCACAGCCTCTTCTTTATGTGCCTCAAGTTATGGGCGAGCTCATTTCCCCTCCAACGTTGTGGACATCCCGGTGTGGGCAATGCACAGGCCAGGGGCTGTGCTGGCTTTCTGGGTAGTTACAAGGAGGAAGCAGAGCTGACAAGGATCTCAGGTTGCCCCAAGAAACAGTTTGCTCTGAGTTCTCCACTACTTCTCCTTTGGAACATATCTCCCCAAGCCCACCATGCTCACAGCATGCATCAGCTCATCGCACCCCAGGGCAGCCCATGAAGGAGAACTTTCCGTAGCCTTGTCTGAGATGAAAGGTTTGCAGCACCATAAGTAGGTTAATGAACCTCTGCCTGGGGCTTTCCAGGCACGTGCAGCCTGTGCTTCCCCTCTGGTGGTGTGGATTGTGGGGAATTGCCTCAAAAAATGGGAGCACGCATGGGGCCGTGCAGCACACTGCCCTGCCTTGGGATGGAAAGTGTGCATTGTGAGCTCCCCGTCCCCATGGGGCTCACCACGTGCTTTTCAGTGGTTAGTGCAGAGGTGACCGTGCTGGGAAATGGAGCCAGCATCCCTCTTCGAGCCACTCCCAAGCTGGGAGGAAAACCCGAATCCTATCACCCCACCTATTTCTTTTACCAATTCAGGGGCTCCATCACCTCTCCCCATCCTCACCTTTCCCCGCATTGGCTGCTTGTGTCCGTCTGCCATCCTTGTGCGCTCCTCAGAGGAACGTCAGCAGGAAATCAAGGAAGCAGAAGTGCCTAACGAGCAGCAGGACCTGCAGGCAATTAGCTCCT